CGCGCCTTTTTTTTCCCTATATTATTATATCAATATTGAATTATATCAAAAAATACAATATTAGCAAATTGAAATATTGGCTCAATATGCTTCGAGAATGAGTATGAGTTTTTTAAAAAATAAAATAAAAAAATAAAAATTATATTTTGCATTAGAAATACAATTTTATATAATAATTTTGTGTTTATTAGAGAGGGAATGAAATGAAAATAAAATAATTTTACTATTATACCATTTTACTCCCTCCGTCCCACATAATTTGTCCATATTTTCTATTTTCGTCCGTCCCACATAACTTGTCCTTTTTATTTTTGGAAATATAATTATACACTTTAATCGCATTTTAAATTTTAAATTTTATAATTTTCTTAATTTTAATTAAACTATTTACTTATCTTAATCTTAATCTATAATTATTTTTACTAAATAATAATTATTTTTACTAATACACTTTTTAATAACTTATTAATTATACTTTACCTAAATTCGCGTGTATACAGTAATAAGCTCATGTAATATGGGACGGAGGGAGTAATATATAAATAAAGAAAAAAAGTTATATAATAAAATTTGAATAATTTATTAATAAAACATCTATTTTGACATAATATGTAATGTGATATAGCTTATTTTATAATGCAAAGATATTTATTGAAATTAAAATAAAAATAAACATGATTTTATTCAAAATAGTAAAATATAAAATATATTCTCTCAATCCCGTGAAATTAGTCCATCTTTCCTCTTTTGAATGTCTCGCGAAATTAGTCACATTTTATCTCAAATTTGTGTTTGAGTTTGAAAGAATTTTTTTTAACGTAAGATATAAAAAATTGTTTAAATAATATAAAAATAATAAATGCGTGTAATAATACTAATATTTTTTTTAAAAAAATGCATTGAAAAATTCTTACAAAAAAACAAACAATTTCATCTCCTCTCTCTCAAACCAAACACATCCTAAGGGTGGGTATGATTTGTGTTTCAAACTGAAATTACTATTATTTCAGTTTATATAATTTTCAATAAAAATACATTATTTTATTTTTACAAGATATCGTATCAAAATATTATTTATATAAAAATTTAAATCAAAACTCCATCAAAATATTATTTATACTAATTTCAATCTGAATTGAATATGAAGATTTAAGTAAATAATTTTTAATGTGATAGAAAAATATATATTTTTCTTAATACAAATACGCTATTTCATCACAAAACAAATACATCATAATACAGGTGTATTTGTTTTTTATTTTTGTATGAAAGTATTTTTTATATTAAATATGAGAAAAGTATTAATAATATATATAAAAAAATTATGTATTCAATTATTATTTTTTGTGATTAAATATAATATATATTTTATATTGTGTATAATTATATATATATATCATATTTTTAAAATAATATTAATTGAATATTGTGTTTATAGAAAAAGGGTAAATTGTTCTTTTAATCTTGTAATTGGACCTCTTTATTATTATAGTTCTCTAAGTGGAGTCTATCGCAAACTAGTTCCATAAGTGAAAAATTTTCGTTGTTTTAGTCCTTCGGCGCTGGAGACGCCCGCGTGGCTTGCCGGAATCCACGTGTCCGCCAGGTGTCCCGCCAAATCAGCTATACCTGGCGAACACGTAAATTTTATTTTTTAATTTTTTTTAATTTTTTTTAATTTTTTTTTTAAATTGGACCAAATTAAAAAATTTAAAAAGCAAATAAAATTTTTAAAAATGAAAAAAATGAAAAAAAAAAATTAAATCCACGTGTCCGCCAGATGTGGCGGACACGTGGCCGCCGGCGAACCACGTGGGCGTCTCTGGCGCCGGAATATTAAAATAGCAAAAAATTTTCACTTATAAGACTAATTTGCGACATGCTTCATTTACGAAATTAAAATGACAAAGAGGTACAATTACGAAACTAAAAAATAGTTTACAGGTAAAAAATGATAGACTGAAAACACCCTCAAATAAGAAATGCAAACTCTAATAAATAAATAAATAAACACCCCAAAAATGTTTTACTTTCTAAATTATATTAGAAATATATAGTATAAAAAAATTTAAAGAAATATATGTATAGTTACAATTATATATATACATATATGTATATGTATATATAAAGCTAATTAGGTCTACATTAAATAAAATATTTATATTTTTTATACAAGAACCTTAATCATGACAACAATAAGCCATGTTTCTTAATTATAATGATTATTTATTTTATTTTATTTATATATATATATATATATATATGTAACAGGTTGTACATAGTCATAGTGTGCAAGCAAAAGCTACTTTTGTCAATGTATAATTATGAGCACAATTGCCACATTCTGTGCAGTTATTTTGTTATAAATTCATTTTGGATAAATTTATTATTTAAATTCTGCGTTTTTGAAAAAAAATATATATATTTTTATAAAATATTCTATCAAATATTATTTTAATATCAAATTTAAATATTTTTTTTTTCAAACCAATCAAAATACATTCTGCATTTTTGAAAAAATATATATATTTTTATAAAATATTCTATCAAATATTATTTTAATATCAAATTCAAATATATATTTTTTTTCAAATCAATTAAAAGAAACACACCCAAAGGTTTTTTTACTACGTAATTTTTCAACTTTTTAAAAGTAGATTTTTTATTTTCAAATTCTTATTTTAATCTACTAATTAAAATTAAAATCAAAACATAATTATTAGATAACTATCTAATACAATAGTCATGTTTATCGTTTTTGTCTGTCCCAAAATAATAGTCTCATTTTCTATAAATAATCATATCACTATAAAACTATCCTTACTTTTTCATTATTATTACACAATTACCACTATTTTTTACACTAATACACTCACAAGGGCAAAAATTCTTTTATTTATACTTTTTACCCACTACTAATATAATATCAATATTCTTTAAAATTTCGTGCCGAACATAATCTAAACTATAGTTTTGGGACGGAGGAAGTACTATTTTATGTGATATTTTTTTTTTTAAATATTGAATAGTAAATTTTTTTAAAAAAATATCATGTAGACAAAACACACCCTATAAAAAATAGTATAAAAAATAAAACTATAATTTAGATAATCTAAAATGAATGAACAATGAGAAATTGTATAAAATTTCTACATAATTAAATAAAGTGATATCCTTTACAATTACTTAGTAAATCCAAACATTTTTGTGGGACAATAATTTACTATATATATATATATAAATTTAAATTTATCTATTTATATCTATAGGAAAAAATAAGAAAAAAAAAAAAAAAGACCATCAAATGATTTGTTAAGGAAACTTGACAAAATTGACAAATAGTACTTAGAAAAATACTAGTTATATATGCAACTCAAATTTAATATTACCTTTGTCCGGCTTCAAAGGTTTCAATTATTTTTTTCGTATTGATTTTGAATATTAATTATTACATTAAACAGTAATACAAATTAAGAAAAAAAATTGTAAAAATACTCACATTAGTGCTTATAATACTGATAGAAGGATATTTGTAAAAATAAATAAAATTATACATAAATAAATAAGGATATTTTTAATATTAAGTATAATAATACAAAAGGTAAATATGACAATTAAAGGCGACAGGAGAAAGTATGAATTTATAAGTAGTGCCATGAATTTATATGTAAAAATTCATTTTCTATTCAAAAATTGTGATCAATAGTAATAAAATAATAGAATTCATATTTATTTGTATGTAATGCAATAATTTTTTTAATATTTAAATATAATTTTTTTATTCAATTTATTACATTTTTTTTAATTTTTTATGAATAAATTTATATAATGGTTTAAGTGTGCTAGTTTTATTGTAGGATTTTAATTTGAAGTTTTTTTTATTTATGAAAATTTGTGTCGATACAAAAATAATATTTCGTGTTAATTATTAATTTTTTAGAAAATGATAAGATGTATATATTATTTATGTTATGTTAATATGCATATATATTGTATTTTTTTATTAATATTAATTGAAAACTGTATTACCTTAAAATTGATGGGTGAGCAAAACTGTCTATCCCATAAATAGTTTATATTAAATAATTTTTTTTATATTATCGACACAATTTTTTATATTTTATTATTTAAATTTATTTATTTGGAATTTTATATTATATTAAAAAATAATGATATTTAATTGTTTAGTATATATGTATAAAATAATTTTAATATTTTTATTTTTTGTATTTTATTTTTTGAAGTATTATAATTTATGTAAAAATTAAAGTTATTTGTTATTAATATATTATTATTATTATAATTAAATAGATACTACTTCGTTCTATCTTACAAGAATAATACAATTTGTTTTTATGCTCTATTTTACTTTATATTAAAAATATTATTATATTTGTATTATAAAAAATTAATATAAATATTTTTATTTTTATTTTTAATTTATATTATTTATTAATATAATAATTAATATTTAAATATTTATATAAAAAAAATATTTTTTTAGTGAAACAAAAAAAAAAAAAATCGAAAAGAGTATAATATATGTATGTATACAAATAATCGTCAGCTTCGAGGTTTTTGTAACAAATTTCTGGTATGTATTTGTTATTATATTTATTGTTGGCATAATAATTTACAGAGAATTTATTACATCAACCAACTCTAACATAAATACTCTGACAACCACAGCAGGTAATAATAAATAAAGAGGACGAAAATTCCCACAAGCTCCCTGGACTCGAGGGCCCAATAAATCTACGCCCTTGATTGCACAACTAACGGTAGTGGATCAGTTCAACTAACCATGGTCCGGTAAGCGTCTTAACCAGAGTTAAGCCAAACCACCACTAAAGGCGAGCCACAAGGCACAAAAGCCCTAAACCACGCCCAAATCCAATAAAGAAAAATTGACTAAAGCAGCCCCTATTATGAAATTACCAAAATACCCTCACCCCCCACCTCCCCGAATGATTATTTATTAATCTAAAGTTTTTAAAAAATAACATTAAAAAGCCCTGAAACCAATGGAGAAGCAGTAGTCTCTCTCTCTCTCTTTCTTTCTCTCTCTCTCTAAAATCTCTGAAATTGGAGGACAATAAAATCTCAATGCGCCGTGAAATCGTCGCCGAGCATTTCCACCTGAGTGTTGCTTGACTCAGATCTGCGGAATTTGGCTGATTTTGTTGCGAATTTAAGAAATGAGTAAGGAGGAGTTTTTGAAGATCCAGGTCTGTGCATTTCGTCGTTTTTTATTGCAATGTGTTTGTAGAAATGTCTCTGAAGAAAACATTCATATTATTTTTGTAATTTTTGTTTATGAGCTCTAATTGTTAATTTTTTTTGTGGTTGCAGACTTGTGTTCTTAAAGTTCATATACACTGCGATGGATGCAAGCAAAAAGTGAAGAAAATCTTGCAGAAGATTGAAGGTATGCAAATCTATACATACATACAAACATATGTATATATATATGCAGAAGATTGGAAATTAGTTACTTTGTGAAATAGGATATGGAGAAGAGGAAGATTATGGTTTGCAGTTTGTTGTGAAGTTTGTGTTTTTGGAGGGACTGATTTGTTAATTTTGTGTTTTTGGGGTGGTGAAAATGAAAAATGTGTGTTTTTGAAGGTGTATATACAACAAAGATAGAGTCAGAGGTGGGGAAGGTGACTGTTGCTGGGACTGTTGATGCTTCTACACTCATAAAGAAGCTTATCAAGAATGGGAAACATGCTGAGCTATGGGGTGGGGGTGGGGGTGGGGGTGGGGGTAAGAATAACAACAATAACCATAGTAATAATAGTAACAATAATCAGTTGAAGAATTTGCAACAAATTGTGGGGGGTAAGAATGGTGGGGGTGGGGGTGGGAAGGGTGGAGGTGGGGGTGGGGGGAAAGGGGGGCAGCAGCAACCCAAGGGGGGTCAAAATAGCAATCCAAATCCTCAGATGATGAAAGGGATGTTGCCTCCTCAGCTAATGAAGGGCCCGAATATGTCCGGGCCGGGCCGGGCTTCGAGAGACTACGACGACGATTTCGACGAGTTTGATGACGAGGACGACGATGAATTCGACGACGAGGACGATGATTTTGAAGGCGGTGGTGGTGGTGCACCGGTCGGGAAGATGAAACCGGGAGGCGGCGGCGGCGGATTGCCGCCGATGCCTAATGTCTTGATGCAAAACGGAATGATGAATGGGGTCGGGAAGGGTGGCAGCGGTGGCGGTGGTGGTGGAAATGGGAAGAAAGGCGACGGGAAAGGTGCGCCGCCGATGATTCCGGCGAACGGCGCGAAGAAAGGTGGGAATGGGAATCAAAATGGCGGTGGCGGCGGCGGTGGTGGAAAGGCCGGAAAAAATGGCAGTGGTGGCGGTGGTGGTGGCGGAGGGCAAATTAAGAATGGTAACAATGGCCCTAATGGGATGATGATGATGCCTAATATGATCGGAAACGGCGGGCTGGGCCAAGGCCCAGGCCCGATGGCGAGCATGCCGATGGGCCACATGAGTAATCCGGCAATGGGCGGTGGCCCGATGGGCCACATGAGCAATCCCGGGATGGGCGGGCTCGGGCCGGTGCAAGGTCTTCCGGCCATGAATGGCGGCAGTAGTGGCGGGCCGGGCCAAATCACGGGGAACCCGTACTACCAGCAGCAACTTGCGGCGATGATGATGAACCAACAACAGGCCAACGGTAACGAGCGGTTTCAGCCGATGATGTACGCTCGACCGCCGCCGGCCGTGAATTACATGCCGCCGTATTATCCACCACCGCCGTATCCGTACCTTCCGCCGCCGGGGGAACGGGCCGACCAGTACTCGATGTTTAGCGACGAAAACGCCTCCGGCTGCGTCGTGATGTGAGCGAGAGAGAGACTTTCGATCCGACCGGAACACATCGACGACGGTCAAATGGGCCCGGCCCGATGGAAATTTGTAGTGTTTATTGTCGATGTTGGTGCTCGTGAGTTGATAGTTTGGTGACTTTTTCTTTTGTCGTTAGTGTTTTTGATGCTTTGGTATAAATACATGGAAACTTTATGTTTAATTCTCATTCTCAGATTATTAATTTTTAATTATAATTATATATTTGATTTGTTTGAACTCAAACTATTATTTATAATATTTTCCTTTTATTTAAAAATATTTATTTTTATTTTAATAAAAATTAATTATACATTAATACAAAAATATTTTTGATTTTTATTCAAATTATAAATATATAATTACAAAAATAATTATTTTATATTTAAAATAAAAATATCAAAAATATAAAAGTAAGTAATAGTAGTTACTTTTTTTCTTTTGCAGAAAAAAAAAGTTCAAAAATATAATAATTTTTTACTTAAAAAAAATAAAATAAATATTTTTCAATGACAATCTAAAAAGGAAAGTGAACATATATTTAAATGACGGGGGAGTACTATAAAATTCTAAATTGGTACATTGGAGTAGAACTAGAAGAGTATATGTTTTATTTAATTGTCAATTTTATTGAGATTTGCACCTTTATTTCTGATATTAATTTTTTATGTCCACGAAAATTATGCTCATTTAGTTGGGAGAATCTGAATAAATGTGAGTAAATATAATAATTTTTTAAATAAAAAACTTATACAAAAGATACTTTTTAAATTAAAATAAACAGAAAAAAGAAAAACATTCTATTACAACAAGAAAAAAAATTAATATAAATTTAAATGACAATAAAAGTATTAGTATTAATTATTTTTTTTATAAAAATAGCATATACTGAACATCAAGTTTTTATTTTAAAGAATTATGTCTAATAAATATTTTATTTAAAATTATTATAATGTAATTAAAAAATAAAAAAGATACAAATAAACTAATTTTGAATAAAAATAGTATTTACATTTATAATGTTGCATTATTCATTAATTTTTATTTTTTTTATCTAAAAATTTAATTTTTGAGTGATTTTGATATTTTAGATTCTTTTAAAAATAGTAAAATTTTAATGTAAAATCATAAATAAATATTGCATATGATATTGTAAATAGAGATTAATTTTTTATATAATACTTACCATAAAAATAGATATTGTGTATGATATTTTTAGAAAAAACTTTTTTTATAAATAATACTCCATCGGTCCATAAATATAATCTTAATTGGGTTAGATACGAGATTTAAGGAATATTAATATTATATTGGTAGTTGGTAAAAAATATGGATAAAAAATTTTTGTCTTTACGAGTGTATTAGTGTAAAAAATAGTAGCAATTGTGTAATAAAAATAAAAAATAGGGATAGTTTTACGGTGATATGATTATTTATAAAAATAAGACTATTGTTTTGAGACGGACAAAAATGGTAAACAAGACTATTGTATTGGGACAGAGAGTACAAAATTATATATATATATATTTCTTTTCAGAATATTATATTCAGTATCCAATTTTCATTTAAATTTTGTTATTTTCAAAATAAGTGTCCTATTGGTGTTATTGTGACAATTCTGGGGTGTGTTTGTTTGGGGATTGGATTTCTAATTCATTATTCATTCCATTTTTTTCAAAAAATATCAAATTAAATACTTATTTTTTATTTTTTATATTATACTAAAAATTAATTTTACATTCAACACGTCGCATCAATACCTATTTATATCACATCATACAACTATTCAAATTCAAAATTTTTACTATTTAAATCTCAACTCAAAATCCAAACCCCAAACAAACACACCCTTACTATGAATTCAACATATCGTCGAATTGCTTATCCTCAATCTGACTCGACTCAACTCGACTCGACTCATTTCATTAATAATTGAATATTTTTCAAAATTAAATATGGAAAAAAAGAATTAAGATGAGCATGTGTTGAAGGGACAAATGCATGATTTAAATAAATATGGTGACTAAAGTTTGGTGCAAAATTCATTACCATTTTTATGAGTTATTTTCAAATGTTTTTAAATATAATTTCTATTATTTTATTTAACGGTGAGATATATATATATATATTATTTATTATTTGAATATCACGGTTAGGATGATTTCTTTGTCTGTGTCTACCTATTTTTGTTAGTATTATGGGTAAACTGTTTTTTTTAGTCCCGTAACTGAACTTTTATTATTTTAGTCCCGTAAGTGGAGTCTGTCGCAAACTAGTCTCATAAGTGAAAAATTTTCGCTGTTTTAGTCCTCTGGCGCTGCAGACGCCCGCGTGACTCGCCGGAGGTGACGTGTCCGCCAGGTCAGCGACACCTGGCAGACACGTGGATTTATTTATTTTTTTAAATTTTTTTATTTTTTTAATTGTAACAAATAAAAAAATACAAATAAAATTTAAAATAAATTAAAAATAAGTTTTTAAAAAAATGTAAAAAATTAAAAAAATTAAAAAAAAAATCCACCTGTCCGCCAGGTCACCGACACCTGGCGAACCCGTCACCTCCGGCACCGGAGGACTAAAACAACGAAAATTCTTCACTTGTGGGACTAGTTTGCGACAGGCTCCACTTACGAGACTAAAATGATAAGGGGGTCCAGTTACGGGACTAAAAAAACAGTTTACCCTAGTATTATTTATTTTTATCCTAAAAAATATAACATTTTATAATATAATTTCTATACAAAATATCATACTCTCTCCTTAATGTAAATATTTGTTCATTTGACCTAGCATGAAATTTAATAAAAGTGAGTAATAATTGTTAATTTTTTCTTTTAGGGTGTGTTTGTTTGGGGGTTTGAATAATAAAAATTTTGAATTTCAATAGTTGTATGATGTGATATAAATAAGCGTTGATATGATGTTTTGAATGTAAAATTAATTTTTAGTATAATATAACAAATAAAAAATAAGTATTTGATTTGATATTTTTGGGGGAAAAAATAGGAGGAATAGTATATTTAAAATGCAATCCCCCGAACAAACACACCATATAGTAAAAAACAGTACAAAAATGAAGTAATTTTTTATTTAAAAAGGAAATGAGAATATTTTTCGATGACAACCCAAAAAGAAAAGTGAGCATAGATTTGAATGACGGAGGGAGTATTAATTACTCTCTCTGTCCTATAACTAGATATTCATTTGTTTTTTGTACTTAGTTTTAGAAATATTAGTATTATATTGGGATGTAATAGGAATAACGTGGAAATGATTAAAATAACCTTATTAGTATGTGATATAAAAATAATGACATTTGTGTAATATATTATAAATTATAAGGGTATTTGTAATGTTAGGTAGATAGTACAGTTACTAAAAAACTTTGTTATAAGACGGATTAAAATGAAAAAATTGATACTTTGTTATGGATCGGAGAGATTATTAAATTTGAAAAAATATAAATACAAAATAAAAACAAACTATATGAATACATTCTTATTTTTTTTATTCTCTACTAACAAAAAATAATCTAATATCTTTTATTTAAAAATTTTGACTTTTTTTATTTATTTATTCAATTTCTTCGCTAGTATTTTTTTATAATTTTTTTTTTCTCACAAATTATCACATCTCATGAGATCCAAAATCATTATTAATTTTGAAATAATTAAAGCACCTAAATTCTCCTAAAATACAACCAAATAAAACTTAGGGATATGTTAATATGAATTTCTTTTTATTTATTTATTTATTTGTTTGTTTTTTATTTATTTTTTGTTTTTCTTTTACAATAATGATTTACATAAAAAAAATATATATATATACTTTTTATATATTTGGTATGTCAAATAGCATTTAAAAATAAAAAGTATCTTAAAATTTATCCAATATTTAAATGTCAATATGCATACTTATAGGAATTGCACTAATATATAAATATAACTACCAAAAACAATAATTAAATTAAAAAAGGTTAGAAATATTTTAAATATAATTTAGATAAGCTGGATATATATTTTTTTTCAAAGACAAATTAGATTGATAATTTTTCTTTTTTTCTTTTTTAAAAAAAAGTGTTTTTTATAATTTACTTATGGTGAATAAAAAAATAATAATAAAATTGAGAGTTTGTACACGTTGTGTTGTTTTATGTATGCATTTTTTTATGTTAGATATGAAAAATTATATTTATAATATAAAAAATAAAATTTTATGATGAATTATTAATATTTTTTACGAGTGAATAAATATATTATGTTAATGGGTATATATATTGTATTTTTTTAATACTAATATTTATAGAGAATCGGTCTACCTAAAAAAATTAAATGAACAAACTCATTATTTTTATTATATGAATTTTTATTTAAATAATATTTTCATATATTATTTTATTAAAGAAAATATTTCATTCATCCCATAAAAAAAAGAGTAAATTATTTTTTTAGTCCCGTAATCGGATTCTTTTATCATTTTAGTCTCATAAATGGAGCATGTCGCAAACTAGTCCCATAAGTGAAAAAATTTCGTTGTTTTAGTCCTTCGGCGCCGGAGATACCCGCGTAGCTCGCCGGAATCCACGTGTCCGTCAGGTCAGCGACACTTGGCGGACACGAGAATTTGATCTTATTTTATTTATTTTTTTAAAAAGATTATTTTCAATTTATTTTTTATTTTATTTTTCTTTTTTAATTTGGTCCAATTGAAAAAAAAAAAAAAAATCTACGTGTGCGCCAGGTGGCGCTGACTTGGCGGGACACTTGGCGGACACGTGGATTCCGGCGAGCCACGCGGACGTCTTCGGCGCCGAAGGTCTAAAACAAGGAAATGTTTCCACTTTATTATGAGACTAGTTTGCGATAAGCTCCACTTGGATTAAAATGATAAGAGGATCCAGTTACGGGACTAAAAAAATAGTTTACCTAAAAAGAGTAGTAGTATTTGTTTTTTGCACATATAAAATATTAATATTATATTGATTTCTAATATAAAATACATAAATATTTTTACTAGTATTGTGTAATATAAAAGTAATATTTGTGTAATATATTGTAAATTTATAAAAGTATTTATTACTGAATTATAAAACAATACTCTTGTTTTGGGAATGAAAAAGTAATATATTTTTATTAAAATCGAGATGAATAATGATAATTTTAAATTAAAATTACAACCAAACACATCAAAAAATACATGTTAGCTTTCTATATTCATAATCTACA